CAATTCTGCTGACCCAAAGGAGTACTAAGAAATGGAAAGCCCACACTGTTCTAGATATTATCAATGCCAAATAGGCTGGAATAAGTCTACAGTGTATATTTTCTTGAGTTGAAATATAATACTACAGCCTGTTAACTGCTAGTAGTTTGCGGGAAAACTGACTGGTTGATCTCTGCAGGCTGTGCTCCTTGTTTTCAGCTTCTAACTACAACAGAACACAATACATCGAGCATGTCCCTAATCTTCCCCACTAATACCAGTATTCTAGTTGCCACAGGCATCTTACTCAATTATCTGTGGAACTGAAGGTGATTCATGTGACTGAGTAAGAAGAGAGGAAGGTTATAACATAATCTGTCTTCTGAAAGGCGGGTAACTTGTTGAAAAAGCTTACAAATCACCACTCTGACTGACTGCCAGTTTTCTCTTCCCAGCTCCTCCCCACTGAACAGCCCAGTATGAGATCCATGGCATTAATGACAGATTTCTGTGTAACTACTTGCTGATCAGCTTCAGTAGGGGTGGTTTTTGTTTTAAAATGAGTTGTATTGGAGATTCTTTGAGCTGAACAGACCATGAGAACATGAACTGGCTTGCATCCAACGTTATTATCTTGTATTTGTGCTTGCTGTAAGGAGCTTACTTTTACAGCCTATCGATGCAGCTAGAAGTTCTGTTATAGAAGCTTCCAGACAGAACATCCGTAGAGAAGCTCTCTACAATGGTTGTCATTTGTTCTGACAATAAACTGCATTCTGAATTGTGTCCTATTAAATAAATGCAGGAAAACATAACGCTTCTGCTTACCAGGCTTTGAGAAGGCTGGTGAAGATTAAGATAGTGAACTGTGTCACTTAAGCATTTCTTCCCTTTCTTGCCATGCCCTTTTATATTCTTGCTTATTATCCCCATTTTAAGTTAAAGCTGTTGAGTCATACTCTAAAGTCTCACTTTTTGTGTCATTTATTCTGGAGGAATATTTAAGCCTTTTTCTTGGAAAAGGGCTCTGTAACAACTGGATCATGTAAGTGATACTTCACGAAGTTTCCAGCAGCTACCAATACTATGTCCGGGTTGGAGTAAAGAGCACATTCCAGAGAAGAGATTTGAAAACTAAAGATGAAGAAGCTGAAGCAGGTGATTTCCTCCTCCCCACCCCTTTTTTTTCTCTAGAGCAGGGAGAAACAGTTGATTTGGAACTCTCTTCAGGAAACACTTTATGTTAATATCTGATGGGCATTAAACTATATCCAAAATCTCTATGGAGACTATAATACAGGTGCTTCAAGAAATTGCTTTGCAGCTCCCTTAGGCAAAGTATTTATGTGATACACTTGACTTTTCATCTGCAGTGGTACTATCATCAACATAGTTTCAACCATCTTGCCTTAGCATATCTTTCCTTCTACTTTGTTATCATGTGTTCTCATAAACTCTTTTACATGTTTTATGCGATCGCTCTCATTGTTTCATTGTAAGAAATATAATCAATATATTTAGCCCGTAATTTGTGGAGCCCGGGTAATAATTTTTGGTCTTTAAGGCTACATCTTCTGAAATAACATCTATCAGAAAATCTTGGTGATCCAGACTTTTGGTCATGTGGTTACCCGTGTCTAGTGTTTATTGTTTGTGAGCCCTTACACCAACTCAGGTTGTCCGTAGTCTTACTACTTTAGTGTTACAGGTCCTATATTCAGTTGTTGCCGATACATGTGATATCTAACTGTACTTGCTCAGTTTCCTCTCGGCACTGACTTTCCCAACTGCAAGAGAATGCACTCCAACCATCCACAGATGGCCTTGGTTCATATTACATTGTTTTATCTTGTCTTTATGTATGCCACAAAGATTTCCCAAGTCTTAAACAACTGCTGTGTGTCAATCAGACACTTTTATTTAGCAGGTTATTTTATGTCTACTGCCCTGTTCTTATCTGAGCGCTCTCTGACTGACCTATTGGCAGGGTTGATTTTCTTCTTTTTCCCCCTTTTCCGTTCACATGGATGTGATTCACTAAGTTTTACGTGGGCATTGAGTATTGGACTTCCAGCAGAGGATATTTCACAGTCACTCAGTGCAGCAGACATCATCAGAGGCTATACATTTGGTAAACGTGAGTGTAGTAAAATACGTTATTTGTAATTTGATGTTGACCTATTTCTTAATTACTGATTATATAAAATATTGAACTCTGTTTTGTATTCATAACAATTGGTTATGTAAAAATGTGCTGGCAGTAATTTAGCTCCCTGTGCCTGTAGGCTAGGGGGAGTGCTTACACAAATGGTTACAGGTATATTTCTTACATCTAGCCTAAGAAAATAGCAAATGATGGCAGGAGAGAGGGTGCAAAGTCTAGTTTTCTAGGCAGCGTTCATCACTAGGTTTTGTCACAAAGACAATCTTCTCCTGCCTAGCAGCATGCTGTTCTTCACTGAGAACTTGAGTGGTCTAGGTGCAGGAAAGTGAGAGGGCTGGAGCTCCTCTCCTATGAAGACAGGTGGAGAGAGTTGGGCTTGGTTGTTCATCCTGGACAAGGCTCCAGCAAGACCTTAAAGCAGCTTCCAGGGCCTAAAGGGGCTGACAAGAAATCTGGAGAGAGGCTTTTTACAAGGGTATGTAGGGACAGGACAAGAGGGAATGGGTTTAACCTGACAGAGGGGAGATTGAGGTGAGATATTAGGAAGAAGCTCTTCCCTGTGAGGGTGCTGAGGCGCTGGCACAGGGTGCCCAGAGAAGCTGTGGCTGCCCCCCCTCCGGCAGTGTTCAAGGCCCGGCACAGGGGCTTGGAGCAACCTGGTCTAGTGGAAGGTGTCCCTGCTCATGGCAGGGAGTTTGGAACAAGATGAGCCTTAAGGTCCCTTCCAACCCAAACCATCCTAAGATTTTGCAATATTCTTTGGACAGTGAATGCTGATAGGTGAGGTTCTGCATGTTCTGTTCTTCAGTGTTCTTGCTGACCCTCTAAAATAGGGATTAAGGACCAAGCTTAGTGAATATATGGATGATTCTAGTTAGGGACCTTGCAGCCATGCTAGAAGACATGCTTAAAAGATAAGAGATTGAGGCACAGGAAAGCAATATAAATAATAGGATGCAGTTCAGTAAAGACTAGAGTAAGGTTATTTTAGGCAGAAACAATGATTATACACAGGATGAAGAACAAGATGCTAGCTAAATAGCATTAAAGAGTATTAAAATAATCTGGAAGTTATGGGTCCTAAGCTGAAAATATATCCATGTTACTGTATGGCTAATATGAAAAGGAATATGGCCCAGGGGTCTGTGAAAAGGTTTTTTCCACTCTAGCCATTTTCAGATGGAGTCCTGTCTCTCCTCTTAGGCACTTAATTTCGAAAGAAGTCAAGAACTGGTGAAGAGGAATCAAAAGAAAGCAAGAAAATAGATCTTGAAAAATTAACCTGTGAGGAAAAGACAGAAAAACTTGCATGTTTCTTTAGTCCAAAGAGGGGGACCTGCTAATTAGAGATCTACAGATGGTCTTCAAATAGGTAAAAATTTTCTGAAGAGACAGGGAGGACCTTTTATTTATCCATGGTGATGTGATAATAACCAGTAGGTTGAAGTTGAAGAGATGGTGATTCAGGTTAGACTTCAAAAAAATCATTCTAATGGCTCTAAGAAGCTAAGAAGTAGATTACCTGTGGAGACTGTGCAATACAGGTCTGGAGGTTTTTAGGAGTAGTCAAGATAAAAATGTTGCAAATAATCATCAGTCCTAGGCTGGAGTAATCACCAGATGATCTCTTCAGACACTTTTCAGTCCCGTTTGTTGGTGTCTCTGTGATTCTCTCAATTCTTTTAATAAATATCATAGAGAAGAGTGTGTAGTTCCTCTTACCTCATAAAGGTGTCACACTCACATGTAGTCAGCACTTCATGGCTTGAAAAGTGTAATTTTCATTGGATAAATATTTGATTTCTTGATTTGCAATAATTAGCAGCGTGTTTATTTTCATCATCTGTTTTACATTTGGGGCTGTAGTCACCAGTGTAAATCAAGAAGCCGTGAATATGTTTAATGTTTAAAACAAAATTCTATTCACAAATCTGCAGTTGAAACCGAAAGGACAGTTGAGGAGGAGGATTGTAATTATATTGGTGCCATTGTACAAGTAACAAGTGAGTAGTCAGCTGCAGACTAGTGCAGTTGAAGGGCACTCAGCATAGCTGGATTCTTCTGTTAGCTGTTCCAATGGAGCTGGGAAATGACCCACTAAGGTCTCATGTTACTTTTGAAGCTCTAAGCGAACAGCTTCATTCCCACAGTTACACAAAGTTTTAGTAGGTTAGAAGCAATGGGACTCTTCTAAAATCTTTAAAATAAATCTATAGATTTTTTTAATTCATTTTTTTTAACTGTGTTTATTCTCTCTGGAGTTATTAAAATTCGTAGGAAATGGGACATTTTGGTTAGGAACAAGCCACGTTTTAGAAGGTCTTGCTCCTAAAAGCTATTTAGAAATCATTAAGTGATTATGTATCTAAACAATATAGTAGTTGCTGAGAAGAATTTGATAATTTCAGTAATTTGTTAATTGCTAACAACAAATTATGCTTTCAGTAATTTCGAGGAATAGTATAATACGTATGGCAATTTTTACCATTTAAAAATAAACACCAAGGTTCCTTGACTTTGGAAAAAGCCGCTTCAGACCAGATATTTCAAATTAAATGTTTGGGGTTTTTGTCTTGTTAAGATGGTATTTCCCAATGAAATGATAATTTGCTGGAAAATGTCAAATCTATTTCTATACCATTCTTGCTTGCTGGAAATGAGAAAGTATTCAAAATCAAGCTAAAGAAAGGTACATTCAAAAGGTTTTCATGCCCAAACAGTTCTGGTTTATAGATACACATTGCATGTTTTTCCTATTGTAAAAACCACTCAATGTATTTATTTCTATTAACTATTGTTTGAAATTCTAATATTAACTGTAATAATTCTCATAGGACTTTTTTCCCCCCAGTCACAGGTGAATCATCATTCATCTAATAATGAAACATATCAAGAAAGATTGGCACGATTAGAAGGTGATAAAGAGTCGCTCATACTGCAGGTATGTCTTAAAGAGAACATTTTCTACATCGTCAATACTTAGTGAATAAAAGCTGACATGACAGTATTTTCTGTTAAGCAAGTGTTAGCAGATCACCAAATGTAACTGATATTTAATCAGGAATTAATTTATAATTTGTGTAATCCATCTGATTGATTTCATGGTGGGGTAACGTGGTAAAGGAGAGGGGAGCAACACGAGTAAGAGGGAGATGAATGACAAAGGGAAAAAGAAGGAAAGAAAACAAAAACAGCTTATATAGTGCTGTGGAGTCCCAGGATAGTGCTGTAGTAGCAGTTCTCATTCTAGGTTCGCAAGGTTGTACCAGTTCATTTTTCTAGGTTCTCTCTGCCACCATCCTTAATGAAGCAGGGGGAGGGGGGAGAAATTAGAAAGTAAATTGGATGCCTAAGTTCTTCCAGGTCTCCCGTTTCTTAGTTTACCAAGCCTTTTTCAAACAGATCTGCTGTCCCAAATAAATTTTCTTACTGGGAAAACATCTCATACAATTTCAATTTAAAAACTTGTTTTTTTTCCCTGGATATTTTCACTATTACTAAACTGTACAGTACCTGCTTTTTAAAACTGAAGCTGGAGATTCTTTAAATGGTCTTTGCATATCTGTTCTCTTTATGCTTACAAAAGCACATTATAAGCATATATCTTTTTTTATATCAAACAAAACTATACTGGGTAGGTGTTCTCCCTACTTTCAGTTACTAGTTTCTGTAAGCATGTTTTATCCTGTATATTCTGTTCACACTTGTGTTAATTTACTGCTGTTGTTAAATAAACAGTAAATGGTTCACGAGACATAAGCTTAGGCTTGGTTGGATTTTATTTTTTTTTTAGAACTAAAATTGCTATTACCAAATTTAGAGAAACAAAAATTAAATTTCCTGAATGAAAAAGAAATTTCTGGGAATCAGGTCAGGGGAGGCAACATATATTTATTAGAACACCTTTTATTCATCAAGTGGTTATTAACTTTAACATCTTGATTCTATTAATAATAGCAAGCAACTTTTCACACAGTATATTCACTTCTCTCACAGTTCACTCTCACACATGAACAACTCATAATTGGAGCAACAATTAGAAGGCCAAGCCCAGCTGTTTACTCAGAAACAAAGGGTTGTACTGATGCACCTGTGGCTTTGTCCCCAAAGGCCTCTGTTGTTTCATCACATGTGTGTATAGTCCTATAATCTTTGTCTGCATATAGGAGCCACTGTTGTCTTGGATGTGGTTCATGCTATACAGCCAGTTGTTGATGGTCATGTGTCCTGGTGGGCTGGTACAGATTTGGCAGAATCTTGATGTCTAAAGTATATCAGCTTTTGTGGATTTAACAGGACCGCTGGTCTCCAGAGCTTGTAAATTCTTGAAGATTCCTCCAGGCTACTGCTTACTATGTACTTTTCCTGTCTTCATCCTGCTGATTTTTAGTAACTGTTTCTTCATCCACACAAATAGATACCTATAGAATGCAACCAGCCAAACTCACCAAGAAGAGGATGACATGGTTTGGAGACCTGCCTAGAGTTTTTCTCAAAAGGAATGTAGTAAAGTCAGATGTAAAAATTGCCACTCTGTTGCCTTTTACTCCCATCACACGCCCGTCAAATCAGGAGGCATAGTCAATATTTGTGCATTTTCCTATCCTGCTGTGCAGTATTGCAGTAGAACTCCTAAAACCCCAGGCAAGTAAGATAGGTGAAAACCTCACCTGGTGTATGAACATCAACGACAGAAAAAAGTTGCCAAGATAGAGCTGGGGTTAGAACCTGGTTTACACCAGTTCTCTATGTTCTATCTAGACAGCCAAATGTGAGAAACACAGACGAGCCCCATGCTGAGGTTACTCTGGCCTGAGGGAGTCAGCTGGTATAAACCTGGCTCCTGGGTGTGACCATTGGCATGAAGGATGAGAAAGTGATGGGAAACAAAGCACGTCTGTTCTGTAGCTCATGTTGGATGGTGCCAGAGACTGTGGTCCGTGGCTATAATCTGTAAGGAATATGAGGCTGGTAGCACTCAAGTCTTGCATCTGACTTGCTGCAGAAGCAGCAGCTCAAGGCAGTCAGTGCCCACTCTTTCTGTCCACCAGGGCAGAGTCAAACAGTGCACATTGAAACCCACTTCCAATGTTTAGGCTGTAGTGGAGACTGGATATGCTACAGCATCTGGGATACCTTCTCATAGCTCAGTGCCTGTGTATAGGAGCTAATGTACCTCTTTAGGTGTTTGGTTTGTTGTTTCTTTTTTCCCCACAGGGTTTTAAAGGGTTTTAAACCCTTATACCTCTTGATTTTTAGCTAATTCTTCAATATGCTTCACTCATTATATTTGCAGGAAATATATTATCCACAGACTGACTTTTGCGTGTGTTACACTGCTAAGGCAAGATGGACTTGCCAGCATAGTGTATGCTGGAGTTACATGGTGTGTAGCCTACTGATTCCCTGAAGAGTCTGGCAGATGTGATCCCGAACAGAGGGAAAATATGAGCTCAAAGTGGCTAATGTGCTTCTCAGCCTAACTACTGGAACACCCAACACATGCTCCCAAAGCTGCTAAGTTTCTATTAAATTCCTTTGCAGGTCACATTTAACAGTTAGTTTTCCTCAGAGGTTACAATGCTATTTGGAACCTAACCTGACCCTTTAAGTAGAGCTTGTTTTCTTTCTCTGGAACCTGCACCAAACTGAAGGAGAGGATTCAGTTCCTTTCTGCTTTCTGACCTCTCAGGGGGTTGAGTTCTGTGTATGTGTGTGCCATCACTCATTTAATGGGAACAAAACACGAAAGTAGACAAGCAACAGACTTCCTTGCAGGGAATTCTCTCCCTGCTCAAGTCTGGATGTATCCCCTTGCCATTTGCCTCCACCTACTCCTTCCTATTATCTCTCATCCTGCATTCATTTGTACTCTGTACTACAGCCAACTACTTTAAAGGCAAAAAAAAAAGTCCTCTTTTTCTCTTTTTGTATGTTCCTTTCCCAGGCATGCTTGTCATTATGTTTGCAGGCAAAACAAAGAAAGATCACTCAGTCAGTCACTCCCTCTGCAGCTTCCCTGAAGTGGATTCAGTTGTTGGTTGATTGGGATTTAGAAGTGCTGCGTAGTGGGCACGTCTGAAAGGGTTCGCTTCCACATACTGTACTTATTTTTATTAATAAAGGTATTGCAGGGTTGGATGTAAGAACATAGATAAGTTTTGTAAACTCATTCAAACTGGAGTTTAAACGCCTAAGGTTGCTTTTGGTTTTGTGTTTGTTGTTTGGTTTTTTTTGTTGAGATAACGTTTTTCTAATATAATCAAGGCTTTCATATAAATAAGTAGTAAAAATGAATATACAGAGTGGATGTGCTGCTTAACATGGGAATTCAACTGTTGTTTTTTCCCCTACATCGTTCTAATGTTATCATGAGCATAGTTTTTTCAGCTTTGTGAGCTTTGAGTTAGGCTGCTGTGCTTTTCTTGTTACACACTCACTGGTCTGTACCACCATTCCCACAGTTCTTTAGCAGTATTACTTATTACGGCTTTTCCTGGGATTCATTGTCTGTATCTCACGTCTTTTGCTTTCATGTTTTGGCTTGCAAAGCCTGGGAATTTTTCTTGGAATAGAACTTTGCTGCTGCTAAAACATGCCTTTTACTCATTGCATTCTTTATAACTGCAGAAAGCTTTATTGATAGGTAAGCTCTTTTTTCTGTTCTTGTAAGAAATAAAGTAATCGGTTGGTTTCTGAATGAACAGTTGTTCTGTCTATCTCTTTTAGGGAGTGAAATGCCAATGCCAATGGAACCTGAAATGGCAATGCATGCTTGAAAATATTTTCAGTATCTTGTATTCTTGTTTGGTACTTTCTAATTTTTCAAGACTTTTACTTTTCCATGAACTGACTCAGTCTACCTATAGGTAGTCTTCAACCTCGTCTAGAAATACCCTTTCTTTTTATATTAAAACAAAAAAATCAGGGGAGGGCTGAGAGGGCGGGGTTAAAGCAAAATATAGGTAAGACTGGAAAATTGTCTATCTTGATAGAGCAGGTTGCTGCACTGCACAAGAATATTAAACCATTGAGGACTTCAAAAGAGAACTGGCTGTTAAAGTGTGCATTTGGATGTTAATTGCATAAGGTAATTGAAACTTCTTTACGGTCAGTTCAGTAGCATTGTGCTTCTCTTCTCAAATTACAGGTGAGTGTTCTTACAGACCAAGTGGAAGCTCAAGGAGAGAAAATCCGGGACTTAGAAATCTGTCTTGAGGGGCATCAGTTGAAACTGAATGCTACAGAAGAAATGCTTCAACAGGTAAAAGTCGGGATTGGGAAGCTTCTTGCATAACCTCCAGTGGAGGGGTGAACATACATGGTCAGCTTGTCTGCGTGTGTGAGTGCCTTTAGCAACAAGATAAAATGGGGAAAAATGCCTCTTTTATTGTTCTCTCACTGCTTTGTACCTCCCCCCCCTCCCGCCCCCCAATAAATGTTTCTTTGTTTTCCTGTTGCAAAAATGTTTTACTGCTGGTTGCATAATACTGTACGTGGCAGCATGTAAAATGAAACTATTGTGTCTTATTTGTACTGTGCTGACGAACTACATTTGGACATGACTTGAGTAACTGGTTAGGCAGGTTAAATGTATCTAATATATGTAGGAGTTATACAATTAAGAAGTTTTATTTAAATATCGTTTGGTTTTGTGTGGCTTTGAAGTTGAACATGTAAGTTGAAATGAGTTACTATGTCAAGTTTGGCTTTGTAACAATTTTTGCTTAATTTAGGAGCTTTCCACTTATTTTTGAAAGAAAATTACTGCATAAAGACATACTTTATTTGAATAGACAGTTTTAATTTTTCCTTTATCATGTTATATATTGAGGGAGCAGAAGAAATGATATGTTAAATACCTTCTATTTCATGTGTTAGTGCAGAGCTGGCAGGTCTGTTGATGCAAAAGAACTTTCCCCATGGAATTTTTCTGGTTTTATGGATGCAGATCATGCACTGGTAATACAGTACATCAATCAAAAATAGATTTGAAACTGTAAATAACCCTCAAAATCTATGCCAGAAATTTGCAGGGTAGATACTGTTCTTGATGAACTTACTTCCTCTCCCTACCCAAAATGTTGTGTTATAAATTTACTATTTTCATCTATGTGAAAATACACAAGTCTTTCCATGAACTAACCATAGCTTTAAATTATGATAAAGATCCCTGTACATATGTTTGCTAACAGTGGCAGTTTCTATAAGATAAACTTGTATCTTAAACCTTTTAAAGTTATAATTCTCGAAGCTTCTCTAGCACAACTTTTGCATCCCAAAATATTATAGATTATAGAAGTCATATTCTCATACATAAATGAGGGGACGTTTTTAAAAATGCAGATAGTGAGTGTATTTAGTTTTTCCATGAGACCTGTGAAAATTCAAAGAACAGTAACTATTTAAGTTAAGAAAATCTGTTTTCAAACTTTAGGAAGACATCAGCAATAGTGTAGAAGTTTCCAGTTTTAATCTAAAACTAGCTAGTAGTTTTGTGACTTCTGCTAAAACTGGTTATTGTTCCTCTGCTTAAAATTTTCTGCTCTGGTAGTCTTCTGAGGAAACCATGAATTTAAAGCCTGATTTAACAGAACACTGAGGCATCTGAAAATAGAATATACTGCTGCATGTACATTGCCATTTCAGTGAAAACATTTTAATCTACCCATGCGGCATTAGACACATGCACAAATTGCTTACGAAGCTGATCCTGAAGTGATAAGCTGCAAAAGTCTGTACTAAAGCTAAAGAAGTCAGAGAAACTCCAAATATATTTAACATAACCCTTGAATTTAAATTTTGAGATCACTTTGAGTGGCTATAACTGTTGCCAAATGGTAGTAATTTCAAGTTTATTTTCTTTCTTGTAACTAACTAGTTAGCAATAAGCTCAAATTTGTTGATTGTTTTGTGTTTCGTGTCATAGTTTTGAGATCTTGCATTTGAACATAATTTACAGAAATACTGATAAGCTTGCTTGTTTAATGGCTAAATTTTATAAGTGACTGATCTCTTATATTTACAGCATGTATGACAGCTTGAGTTTGGGTTGGGTTGGGTTGGTTTGGTTTTCAAGAGAAAGAATTATGTAGGCTACAACTTGGTAAGGATTTGTGTTTCATTTAGTCCTCTGAGTTTGTCTCTTTGAACTTTGTGCAACATAATTTGCAGAAATACTGATAAGCTTGCTTGTTAATGGCTAGATTTCTAAGTGACTGATCTCTTAGATTTACAGCATGTATGACAGCTTGAGTTTGGGTTGGGTTGGGTTGGTTTGGTTTTCAAGAGAAAGAATTATGTAGGCTACAACTTGGTAAGGATTTGTGTTTCATTTAGTCCTCTGAGTTTGTCTCTTTGAACTTTGTGCAGAGAGATGCACATACACGAACACATGCTTAGTATTTTAATTTTAGTGGGAGTGATGTGCTTTCTAATTATTTTCGATTTATTTACTCACTAGAATGCAAAAAAAAAAAAGAAGTTAACCTTTTAGTTTTGTGAACAGAAAGAAGAGCAAATTAATTAAGTACTAGAGGGTGATGCGGGAATGGTAGTTGTGGTGCGTTTCTCAGATAGGTTGCATCCCCCAGTAAACAGTAGCATATGGGAAACCCAAGTTGGATGTCTCAAAATCCCAACAGTCAGAGAACTTGTACATTTATTATGGCTCACAAGAGGGCCCTATTTGTCTGTAATTTATTTTGAAGGTTCTTTTCAAAGTTCACCTTGTTGACAAGATTACCCTCTACGGGGAATAAGTTGAGATTTGGAGAGAAGAGGATGACCTGATTGTATGATGATTATGACATTCATGTGACACGTGGCCAGTAGGCCTTCTTGCAGTCAATTTGTCAAAAGTAGAGAGAGTGTCAGGCCTCAGGGACTTCAATAGACTTATGGATCAGCCAGGTTTTGGGAGAGTTGGTTAAGATCTCAGCCAGCAGTTGCCGGTGTCCTATACAAGTGCCCATGATGCTTAGCAAAGAGATGAAAGATGCTACTGTTGTCACTAAGTTTTTCCAGTGAAAAGTATTTAGTGGGTCTTTCAAGACAGTATTTATTTATTTTTGCAGTAGACTAACTAATTTCTAATAAGAAAAAAATCATCTAGCTCTATGTACCTGTATAAATAATCTTGCTTTTCAGAAAGACTTCCATTATCTTCCTGCTGTGTATGCAAATCCAATTTGATTTCATGGTTCTGCTTGCTTATTTACAGCATATTAAACCCCACTGATTTTTACCTTTGTGAACTTAAGTCAACTGCTTTTTCTCAATGGAAGATGGAAAGATAAAGATAATTGCCCTAGTTTGAAAAATCTTTAATTATATGTTAGTAGAGCTAAGCTAAATGCAGTATGGATAAGCATATTATTTACTTATCTGGGAAAAATATAACTGAGTCCACGTCTTTTTAATTTTGGAAACTATAAGAAAAGTGTCTTGATTCTGTGCCTCAAATGCTAAAATAGAGACAAAAAATCATACACTTTAAGATAATTTAATGATGATATCTGATAGTGCAGCAACAAATAGGGTTTGTAATGCTACCCTGCAAAATCGTTTGTGCTGAATCTATGCTAGCAGAGACTTGTCCACTTCTTCAGGGTGGGGTTACTGGCTCAAATCCTTTTGGCTTTTGATTTATGCAGAAGTTGTTTTGAACCCAGCTACAAACTGATCGTGGAAACACTTCTGAAACAGCAGCTAAAATAACTTTATGCCAATTACATAAAATGGCTGTTCAGCATTTAGGGTGGACATCTTGAATGTGGAATAGTAGCAACAGATACTGCTGCTTCTCTGCAGAAAACTGATTCTTTATCACTCAGAGATGACGGTGCAATATCCTTCCCTTAGTCAAAGTGTGAACTTCAAGAAATTAGTTGAACCAGTCTAAAGGTTACTGCCACAAAAAGGAGGCGGCCTCGTTCTCCTTTCATTCTTCACCCTGTTCCTAACCATGTACTTCTGCAACTTATTTTCTACTGACTTCATGCTCATCAGACTTTTCCCTCAATGAGTGGGAGAAAACTAACTTGTGGTTTAAAAAGAAGGGGGTGCTTTCTGCTGGGTTACTGCGTTCAAACAGCTCACCGAAAAGGTTAAGGTGCGGCATATGGGCAATGGTGAGATGTGCGTTTGACCTAGCTGTTTATGACACAAGAGCCAAAGAACATACAGCTTAGCAGTGTTTGGGAAATGAGAGAATCCTGTGTGACAGATGCAGAGATGCCCTAGTGTGCACAGTTACAGGTAATGCTTTCATGAGATGTGATGCTTACAGCGTCGAACTCCGCATTTTGCTTTTATAAGGAGACTTGCTCCACTACTAATCAGGATAAAGCATTTTTCACCTAGAAGGTGTTTGCATTCTTTTTCTTTAAAAACCAAATAGGTGTTTGAAAACTCATGAAAGTCAATGGCAAAACTTTAAATCTGTCCTTAAGTATGATTCTGATGTGGGCCAAGGAACACATTTTCCTAGTCATCCTTCACAGCACATGGTAAGAGAAAATTTTCTGGAGCATGACTGAGAGCAAGACACTAGTTTGGTCTCACTGAATTTCCTTCCAGTGGTATCTCTGTCTTTGCCATCAAATGTGTAAAGGATGTGGAAACGCCAGCGTGTGTGAATAGTTACTTGCCTTGCCGCTTAGCACATAATAATGAACATGTCTTGGAATAATAAAAAAGCCAAACCCAAACTCCTAGAATTATCCTATGAAAGCAATTTGTGCTGTGGCAGTCCATTCCTAGCATATCAGCTGCTTTAAAATGTAAAATTACAGCCCATTTTAGAGAACAAGGATGTGTGCGTGTGTGTCTTGTTCCAAGTCAGTTGGTGGCATTTCGAGTACTTCAGTCAATTTTAAGAAAAATTTATTTTAAGAGAAGATTGGGTCTTGACCATCTGCTGTGTTAGCTTGGGGGAACCTCCTATCAACTTGCAGCCAGTTTTTCTTTCGTCTGTACTATGTACAAATGTAGAATAGATTTGGAAAGCAGAAGTAATTTTTGCTCTATAAATGAGCCTAAACTCTCCCATGACAGGAAGTACCAGCCATGTACAATGTAAGCGCACTGGTGGTAGGGAATCTATGCTGTCAATCTTAACAACTATGTTAAGTCAGTTTGAAAAGTGAATTTTCTGCACACACAGATTTCACCTTCACAGTTCTTTTAACTGCATCTGTTATGGTAATTATTGTAAGGATATCATTAGTTACCTTTTTGCTATCCCCATGGTGGTTTTGGTTTATTTAACAGGTCATAGTTCCCATGGAAGTTCTCTGGCATAAAGTATAAAAGCATACAGTTTAGTTTGCTTTGCTACTGTGTGGCAGTGTCTTTCCTGTGCCTGACCTGTACCAAATCCTAGTTGTGGTCTGACTGTGTGTTTCCACCTTCCAAATTATTTCTGACACTTAAGTGCAAGAAGCAATCCAGGGGACTCTTGTCAGATAGTTGCATTGTGTAAATACGATTGTGTCTTCTGTCAAGTAAATTCTCTTGCAAAGTACACACTGTTTGGCTTTAGGATTCTTTCTGTCTTAAAAAATACATGCAGAAACTGAAATGCTTGGATGCAAACAGGAGTGAATTTCTGTTTCTCGTGCTTGTTTACAGCCAGCTTCTGCCTGGGTGCATGGAGCAGGGGGAAGTGTGCCAGCCAGTGCCCTTTGTGAGGCACAATGCAGAATCTTTTAAAACCCCATGGTTTAAAGGAATGCAGGGAGGAGTTGTATTGAGAATAGGAACTTGAATCCAACACAGTTTACTGTGTACCTGTGCTGGTTTTGCAGTTGTCTTAATACTCGGGGGAGCCAAAATCCTGTCTTGGTTGCAGGGTATAAATCTAGGACATATCTATTTGCTTCTCAGGAACTTTGCTGGCCGGCAAAGATCATTCCTTCAACTTTCAGTTGCTGAGTTATCTGATCTTAGATGAATTTCAGCACTTGTTTATAGCATGCAGTAACTTCTTGCCAGAAGCTAGCTTAGTGTTTCGGATTTTGAAGCATGCTCTGTGCTGCTCTGGGGAGAGGCGTGAGGTTTTCAGTGTGTGCTCCCAAGTTGTGCAGCAGATCTATACAGGTGAGCGTTACACTGCTTTGTTATTTTACAGTTAATGTAGGCATGAATCTGCTCATCAGGTGAAGGCAAACGGCTGTTCAAATTGGCAGTGCAGTGGGAAGCTCTGTCCTCTTTGTTGCTTAACTATATAATGGGCAAGTGATGAATTGGAGGGCTATAATTCACTCTCTGCTACTAACTTGCACCATTTCATGGTGATTACACATGTACATTGCTCTCAGCTGTGTTTTCAGTTAAGCAAATATCTTATTTCTACCACAGCTGACACACAGTACTTGAAATGGGCAGTCCTCATTAGCAGTGGTTCTTGGTGAATTTTACTTCCCAGGTAGGTAGCTTGATCGGTCTTTCTTTCTCCCTTTTTTTTATTTTAATAAGGATGAAAAGTGTGGAATTTTTTGAGTGCTGTATTTTGTACAGTGCACAAGTGCAAAATGGGATCTTGGGGGGTTTTTTTCCTCCCACTTGACTAAAATCTTACTTATGGTTTCTCAATCAGTGTATGGCGTGATTGTTCCTTCTGTTTTGTGGAGTGCTAAATATCCTGGAATTCTCTGTGCTTGCAGCTGACAGCCTGGAAAAGTGGAGTGTCGTCTTTCTAAGCTATTTTCTACCATGTTAAATTTTATAAGCTCTTTTATAAGAATTATGTATTTCCAAGACAACACAATGTGCAAGTTATATACACAGCATGTGCCTCAGTTTCATTTGGAATATTGAAAAACATGATTGAATACTTTAAAAGTATACAGTGTAGCTTTTAAAAATACAGTTGTGTTTGGAAATAGTTTGCTGTTCATTGATCTGTCTGGTACACTCATATTGGAGCTTCTCTGTGACTCATCTGTGTAATTTTTCTAGTCAAAAATAGTTTTTTTCCCTTAGTTTTTAAATTTAAAAATTGAGTTTTGAAAAGAGAACTTTGAGCAATGAAATTCTAGCACATTTTAAAATTAAAAACAAGTATCTTGTTTTATAAATAAGGTTCCCTAAGATATATTTCTGTTCTGTATTTCAGCTTTTTAAGATCCTCCTAAAGCTGCTTCAGCCCAAATTACCATTTTGCCTGTCTTATAGTATCATTTTTGCTTTAAAACCAATAACATAAATTTGTGTTTTCTTTTCTTACAATTGCATATTTATTCTGGCTGAATTCAAATTGCATCATACCGCTGAAATACACCATAATTTCTCTGTAACAAAATGGGTCACATTCTTAATGAGCTGTTCACTGTGAGCATCTGCTTGAAGATGAAAATAATTGCTTCCAGATGTTACCATTTCAAGAGGGGACATTTACTTTAAACGGCACTTTCTTTCAAAGCAAAAGTTAGACTCTTTAGATGCAAGAGAAATTGTCAGCTGTTTTAAATCAGGGTAGCTCCACTGAAAACAAACTAGGGATAGTTAGCTATTTTGTCTATTTTAAGGCAAGAGTTTTATGCCAGTTCACACTAGCTGGGAATTTGGTTCTCCATCTTCAGAGCAAACTGAGAAATTTTGTTTGACTTGATTAAAAAAAAACAACCCCAAACATCAGCTGTCTTAATGCTCACTTATACCAGGTAATGCTTTAGTCTTCACATGGAGCTATTGAACTCAAAATGAAAGGAGCAAAGTATTGGTCTCTCTTGCATAACTAACTGTAATCTGGGGGTCTATAGAAAAAATAAGGAGTAATGCCAAATGCTCAAAGGGTAGACCTTTTATTAACAATCTCTAGAGGGAAGCCATGTCTCCTTGCCTGATTCAGAAATCTTCCTGTTGTATCACGGAATGCCATGTCAGTGCCAAAAAAAAACCCATTCTAAATGATGTTTCAGTTCAACAGTGAATAGAGTCTGACCAGGGGGCTAAGGTCACCTCACCCTGCCAGCCTTTTTGATGTTCAGTGGCCTTATTTCATATCAGAGTTCTCATTTATAGCTATGTCTTTATTTTCAGAAGTCTGATATGTTCACAGCTGTACAGAGCCTCTTCCAGTCTGGATTGGAATGTGCTCCTGGAACTTGTGCAAGTTAGCATAATTCTGGAAGATAGAGGAGTTATTTGTAATTGTAACTGTGATTTGTACTTACCTTTGTAGAAAGCATCTACTAGAGGGATTTCACTAGGTAACTGTCTCTTAGAGTTTCTCAATAACAAAGGCAGTGCACTGTCTTCTCCTGATCAGTGCTTGATTTCTTTCATTTAGAGGAAAAAAACTCAACCAAATCATGAGACTACATTTCTGTTTATTTTCCCACCCATACACAAATATCATCATCAATGTC